AAATAAGACCTGACTCCAGTTGAAAATCTGATAGCAAGATGACTGGTGACAATAAAAAATAACGATTCTTTTTAATATGTTTGGGAAACTTTTGGCACGGGTTGAGTTATGCCGTGATATTAAGAACAAAGGTACTCTGGCAACTTGGTGGCTAAGTCGAACCTGGAACTCAAACTTTGATGCTCTTTGTCGGAGCATGCAGTTTAGTTAAAATTATAGTGGTTAGGTAGTGATTAGCTGTACATGTCTGACCATGTATAGAAGGGCAAGAAGACTCGTTATTGCAAGTGAGGAGCTAGTTTAGTTAATGGAATTTCTTGCATGAAATGATTAACACGTGTTAGCAGTTATGATGTTTAAATATAATAGATGTAGCCCTTAAATAAAAGCAGCAAAGCTGTAAATGAAAAAAACAAGATTATTTATTAAAACTACAATAGAAAAAGAAATAGGGATGATGCTTACTACCAGCGAACCATTTCCTCCGCCACCCAAAATTATTTAGTTTTGTGAATTAACAAGGAAAAAAAATCTATTCATTTCTAGTACAATGTAAAAAGATCGAAATTTCCATTCAAAGAAGTTAGGAGAACCCCAAGATACTATAATTGGCAACAAGTGCTCTAATAGCAAATATGGTTCCTATATTTTTCCCTGGGTTTTCATGATCACAAACCTACTCTTTTATTTGAAATATTCCTTTTTACTGGGTCGTGCGTTGATTTGAATATTCACCGCTTGTTGCAGGTTCGATAGCAAGAGGTTTTGTAGAGATTGCAGAAGAAATGTTATACGCGAGTTCAAAGAACTCAAGGAGCTAAAGCGCGTGCGAAGGCAACCACGTTGCTCAAGTTGGTTTTGCGTAGCAGATACAACCTTCCAGTATGAGGTGTGTTTTGATGGGTTTCAGTGCTAGGACACACACACACATACACATCTAATCAAGCATAGATGCTTTCTGAATTATGTAAAATTTTGACATTCAGACACTCCATGTAATGGCATCGCATCTTGTGATTTACTCCAAAAGCATGACACATTTTATTATGTCAACCTCAGGTCTCGCATGACACAGTGCAAGCGGATTGGCACCAAACATTTTTAGACACGTTTGGGACTTATAATCACTTTGAATGGGCAGTAGGATCTGGGGAAGGAAAATCTGATATCTTGGAATTTGAAAATGTTGGCTTAAGTGAAAGAGTTCAAGTGAACGGTCTAGATCTTAGTGGTTTGAATGCATGTTACATCACTCTGCGGGCCTGGAAAATAGATGGGCGCTGCACTAAACTTTCTGTGAAAGCCCATGCTTTGAGGGGGCAACAATGTGTACATTGCAGGCTCGTGGTTGGTGATGGTTATGTTACTATCACCAGAGGTGAAAGCATCAAAAGGTTCTTTGAACATGCTGAGGAGGCCGAAGAAGAAGAGGTAATAAACTAATTTAGGGGCTTAACTAACACTTTTGGTTGTCAATAATTTTCCTGCATCCTTTGCATGACAGGCAGGCATAGTTCTGCGTCTCTCAGCTCACCGTTTTTTTTTTCACTATCTTTCTTGGTGTTATATTTATTTCATTGTTATTTTCAGGATGATGATTCCGTGGACAAGGATGGAAATGAGCTCGATGGGGAATGCTCCCGTCCCCAGAAACACGCAAAGAGTCCTGAGCTTGCTCGAGAATTTCTTTTAGATGCTGCAACTATAATTTTCAAGGAACAGGCATGTCTGTCCTCCCTTTTGCTTCTCATTTGTTATGCTGTTAAATTCACACAGAATAGCTGGCAGGTCCTACTATATGAACGTATTTATAGCTTCTTGTCTTTGTACCTTTTTGATGGAATGATACTGGAGTAGTAGGATTCCATGTTTGTCCAACGTAAAAAACAATTTAAATGATAGTAGCTCCAGATGCATTATAGTGATTTTTGATGGTTGAGTTGTCAGATTCTAGACAAAGAGCCATAGTTGCTTCTTGATGCGTGTTGATACCTTGTCCAACTATGTCTTCAAAAATATGGCAACTTCATTTTTATCATCAACAGAAATGGTCATATTTGATCTTCTAGTGCTGCAAAGTTTTTTCTGAGAGAGGTAATAATGAGATAAAATTTGGGTTAATGCACATGCATCTTCAAATCTTTTAAGACTCGTGTAGCTTTGTCATTATTCAAGTGCATCTCACGCATTCTAGAGTAAAAATAGAGTAATTGACTTAGAAATACCTATTTGGAGTTATATGCTTTGGCCCCTTTGAGATCGATTCTAGAAATAATTGGAAGTTGTCGTAAGTGTTTGATAAACTTAAGAAAAACTGATTGTAGAAGAATCTGTACCATCTGGAAATTTTGAGCTGCAGTAAAAAGGTAGC